GATATAGCTCGCTAGCAGCCTCATGCCGATGACCTATCCACGTCATCATTTACCCAGAATGCTTTGTGTGTAAATAAAATGGCTCCATCCGTGATAAAATATAAAAATTTACCCAACTAAACAGCCTACAGTATTTTTACAGTCTTTATTTTACAGCTAAAATATATGTTTATTAAATAAAGTGTAATGTTACAACTAATCATGGATCCCTTTAAATGCCATCTTTGTGTAATGAAGTGATGACTCGTGGTGACCGGCCGGTCGTTGGGTTAAACAACAACAAACAGATGCATTACTGAGGGAACTGTCTGTGCAGGACGTGTCCAGAACAGCCAGGGACAGTTTGAAGACAGACCGGTCTCTGTGGACATTTAGCTGAACTCCTCTGTAAACCACCTACAAGCAAACCAGAGGAGCAGTGCTTCAGGCCTGCTTTCTGTGGGAGGAGAAACAAAATAAAACAGGTTAATGACAGCAGAAAAGTTCTGTGCACTTTATGATCCTTTGTTTTTTTAGTTTAAAAAACAGATATTGAAAGATGAACGTTTTTTTCTGTTTTCATTTCACTCTAAAAACGGGGAAACAGTCGTTTCATTTTTCTCAAATCAGAAGTTTAACCCTGTCGTTATTAGACCATTAAAGGTGGAGCTAATAACTTTTTAACAGCAGGTTCCTGTAAATAAATAAATACAAGCAAAATAGTTGTGCATGTCTTTAATAAACTGCAGACAATATTTTTATTTGTATTCTAGTTAATTTATTTTAAAAACCATTTAATTTGCTGCACCTTAAATGGTCTGAAAATGAGATCACTGGTGATTCAAACTGTTTCCTGGAACTTCTGGTGCTTTTCGCACGTGAAGCATGAAGCTCCAGGACGTCCAGAGGAATTTGAAGCCGCAGCAGGTTGTGCATTAATTAAATAATAAATTAAAAGTATAAAATAAAAATAGAACAACACAAACTGACTTGTAGGGTGAGGACAAAAGCAGGGACACAAACTTAAGCAGCCAAAAGTGTTTTTTTATTAGCGTAAATTAAAAGTCGACCAATTATTAAACTTATTCCCTTCATGTGACCTGAAGGCAGCTCTCAATCACGCTTTGGAAACAGATCAGACAAATCTTTTCCAAGTCTTAGATGTACAATGAATACTGAAGAGAAATAAATTTATACAAACACAATTATAATTAAGGTGCAATTATCTTTCTTGTTTCACCAATACACTCTGATTATCTGTCTGTGATTTAAAGAGCTAATGTCTTAATTGCACTTTGAATGCTTCACATCAACGTCCTGGATGCTGATCACTGAAATAAATGAACTGTTTGACTCGCTTTTAATGCTTTGATACAGCAAACTGATTACATACACAATTATGTGCAATCATACGGTGTGAAACAGGCGCTTCAATGACCTCATTCTGCCACAGAGAGCAGGACGGTATGATGGTGTCACGCTGAGATTTATCATGGTTTCACAGCAGCTCATCATCTCCTCATCACAGTTTACTCTAAACAGGTTGAGACGAGCGTTTACTCTGAGCGAGACCGAGTTCACAAACTCACTCATGATTACATCTCTGTGGAAAACAGGGTTTTTTCCCTCTGTGTTGATGACTGCTACACATCTTTACCATCTTTCACTTCTTTTCAGGCGCAGAGTGTGCCGCGCATCATGGTGCAGTCGGCCAGCGTTGAAGAGAACATGAGCAAACATCTGCAGTCGGTACGTTTTCTTCAGTCTAAACTTGGTTTCTGGAAATCCCAGATATAACCCAGTTCAGACCTGAAACTTTCCTCCTGAACTCAGGTAGCGCAAAGTTTATTTTCTATTCTAACTATTTTCCCCATACTTCCCTGATTTTGAGCAAAATTTGAGCTAGGGCTGCAACTAACGATTATTTTAATAATAGATTAATCTGTCGATTATTTTTTCAATTGATCGATTTATCGGCCAAATCATTAATTACATGAATATGAGTAGATATAAATTAATTTCATTCCTGTATAAATTAAGGATGCAAGTTACTGATTAGTGAATTAATCTGAAGTTGATTTATCTTATATTAATTGATAAGCAGCCATTTTCTTAAAAACCAGAGTTTTCTCTTGAATCAAGAGGCTCTTTCCATAAAATGAAGGATTTTTTTAATAAACTCCTGAATTAAAAAACAGAAGCACAAAATAAATAATTTAAATTTTAATTTGTATTAAATACTGACTGAAAAAAAAGTGTATTTC